GACTCACTCATAGAAATGTTTGGGGTGAAGGAGTGGTCGTAGAGACTTGCGGTTTTTTCCATTCAATTCCAAATTTTAAGGGAAAATTGGGAAAAATCCCAAAAGTTGAAAATTCCTCACCGTTTCCGAGAAAACCTACTTTATCTACAAAAAAGGGGAACAAATTTCTCACCGTTTCCGAGCAAACCTACTCAATCTTCAAAAAAGGGGACCGACCGACTAAAAATTTTTATTCGCCCCATCGGTAGGTCTGGTCGAGACATTTCCGAATCTGTGCCGCAATCCGGTCTCCGTCACTGGCAACATCCTCAAAAACGATAAAATAGGTCTAAATTTAACAAAATCCACTCTATCTTCAAAAAAGGGGACCGACCGACTAAAAATTTTTATTCGCCCCATCGGTAGGTCTGGTCGAGACATTTCCGAAACTGGGCCGCAATCGGGTCCCCGTCACCGGCAACATCCTCAAAAACGATTAAATAGGCCTAAATTCTACAAAATCCACTCTATCTTCAAAAAAGGGGACCGACCGACTAAAAATTTTTATTCGCCCCATCGGTAGGTCTGGTCGAGACATTTCCGAAACTGTGCCGCAATCGGGTCCCCGTCACCGGCAACATCCTCAAAAACGATTAAATAGGCCTAAATTCTACATAATCGACTCAATCTTCAATACGACACCTCCTAGGAACAAGCGGCTATCTTCCAGGAGCTTCCAGACACTCGGCTATCTCTCAGTAGCTTCCAGACACTCGGCTATCTTTCAATAGCGTCCAGACACTCGGCTATCTTCCTGAGCGCTTCGGAGACTCGGCTAACTGACTTCTGCGGAGAGGTTAGGGTTGTCCTTTCGATAGCGTTTTTCTTTGTTACACTTATCAGGACATGCTCACGCCATGATTTTAATCTACTCTGACAAACTTTTGACACATTTTGGTTAGGTCCCGGTGAGGGCATTTCAACTGGTTTAAAATATATACGCACCCAAACTCGGGAAGTGGGAAAAGCAGTTAGCCGAGTCTCCGAAGCGCTCAGGAAGATAGCCGAGTGTCTGGACGCTATTGGAAGATAGCCGAGTGTCTGAAAGCTACTGCGAGATAGCCGAGTGTCTGGAAGCTCCCGGAAGGTAGCCGCTTGTTCCTAGGAGGTGTCGAATAAAGGGGACCGACCGACTAAAAATTTTTATTCGCCCCATCGGTAGGTCTGGTCGAGACATTTCCGAAACTGTGCCGCAATCGGGTCCCCGTCACCGGCAACATACTCAAAAACGATTAAATAGGCCTAAATTCTACAAAATCCACTCTATCTTCAAAAAAGGGGACCGACCGACTAAAAATTTTCATTCGCCCCATCGGTAGGTCTGGTCGAGACATTTCCGAAACTGTGCCGCAATCGGGTCCCCGTCACCGGCAACATCCTCAAAAACGATTAAATAGGCCTAAATTCTACAAAATCCACTCTATCTTCAAAAAAGGGGACCGACCGACTAAAAATTTTTATTCGCCCCATCGGTAGGTCTGGTCGAGACATTTCCGAAACTGTGCCGCAATCGGGTCCCCGTCACCGGCAACCCGTACGAAAATGTTGGAGTCCGAAAAGCAGCCAAAACAACCGTTTGCGGACCGTCCGAAACGGCTCCAAAAGTCGGACCGGGACAGTTCCTAAATCCGCCCTCGGACAGTTCCCAAAAACATTGAAAAAGACCAAAGTCAGAAAGATTCCGGACTTGTCCTGAGTACCAACGCTCGTCGAAAAACGGACAGTCCGAACAAATGCACCAGCCTGCTGCCCCTCGCCCCTCCCTTTCCCCCTTCCCCTTTCCCTTCGGACGCAGGTTGCTTCGGCCGGCCGGGGATTTTCCGCGGGAGCGCGCCCTAGCGCCGGCTGGGCTCACCCTACCTGGCTCGGCTGGGCGGCCACCACTGCCGTGGCGGCTCGGCTCGACTCGGCTCGGGGCACGGTGGCCGGTCAGACACGGCAAGGGACGCGATTTACAGCCTCCAGTAGAATATTACACACAAATTTTGATCACGCACTAACTGTAGCATACCTGCAAGTACATGCCTGCACAAGCGAACTCGTTGAAGCTGTTTGCAAATGATGGGAACACTTGGGGACGAGGGTGAAAGAGGAGAGGCGAATAAAATAATACACCTCCCACCCTCTCACCGCCCGTCCTTCAAGTTTGAGAGACACACACACTTGCGGTAGCCAGCAGCCAGCGGATAGTTGTTTCTTTGGGACACTTGGTACAGCAACGCACTCAAATTCGATCAATGTTTAGGAAAACGCCGTACACGACACCTCACCAAAAATTACTTCTAGAACAGTCGCGAATCGCCTGAACATCGCTCCGAGAACGTAACGAGTGGAAAGTAGATGTGACTTGTGCGCGTTCCTCTATGTTCACTGATCACAGATGCGCTGCTGTGCGATGTGACTCGCTCAACAGCGCGCCGAAAACTGGCGAAAACTGCATCTCTGGCCGCGTCCGCCAGGGCGCCAGGTAACCTCGGCGACCCTTCGGGCCTTCGGCTTGCTTCGGCACGCCGGCGAGCGGCGTTTTCCGCGTACCCAGTTGCCGGGACGTCCGGGCGCCCCGGCTCGGCCCGGGCCCGGGCCAGCTGCACCTAGGCAGGACTCTTTCGGACAGTCCTTGACTTTGAGTGGTTCAGAAACCAAGAAACGGAACTGTCCGGTCCGGACTCCGATTCGGCCCGGACTCTATTCGGGCCTAACCAGAGGGAAAGCGGAACTGTCCGGGGCTGGTGGACAAGTTTGGAATAGTCCTTGGCTAGGTTTCGGAACTCTTCGCTATTGTAAGGGAACATACTCAAAATCAATCATCAATTGTCATAAAAAACCAATAAAGCCCCAAAATCCGACTGACTGACTCCCTCACTCATCAATTATGGTCACATTGACCATAATGAACACAGATCTTATTCTTGTCAAAGCAGTCTTCAATATTTTCCGGACCTTGAATGCCGTTGACTGCCACAGTACCCAATACAATACAAGCTATCTATTTGGGCAGTAATAGTACCATAAAAATTAATGGTCAAAAGCAGTTAAATAGACCCTTCCAAAAAGCAGTACAGTTACTTCATTAGAAAATTTTCCTTTGGTCACCACGGACTTACTGAAAATACTTCGGTACGCGCCCCACACATGCGGGGGTCTGGGGGCGGAGCCCCCAGCGAGCAGCGCGAGTAATTGTATTAAAAATAAGAGGCCCAACGTATTTCTCTGAACTTTTGAGATTAAAGTTTATTTCAAAAAAATCAAGCTTAACGATACTGCAAATTGAATGGAAAGACTTCGCGCCAAAATATGGTGAGACCTTGAAGTCTCGCCAAGTTTTGGTCAGACCTGAACGTCTCGCCAAAATTGGTCAGACAAAGTCTCGCCACCAAATGGTCAGACACAAAAGTCTCACCACAAAATGGCGAGACTTTTGTGTCCGACCACGGCCTTAATTGGCCGTAATTAATAGGCCGTAATTGTCTGGCGCATTACGGTCTTCGGGCGGCGAGACTCTTCTGTCTGACGAAACTTTGGCGAGACTTTCAGGTCTGACCAAAACTTGGCGAGACTTGATGTCTCGCCTCTGGAGTGGCGAGAAGTCTGACCTTTGGATTTGTAGTGTAATGTTCCTCATTCACGTATGATTCTTTTCCATCCACTGAAAGCAGCCAAACATCAAAGTCTTTAAAATCCCTCCACAAATATGAGCGTCGACCGCCCCCAAGTTGCCTCGGCATGCGAACGCCGCGTCCTGATTGGTCGTCGGCTAGGCCAACTGATTACCTTGTGGAGCACTTCGTATCAATACTAAGACGCGTGAATAATAACAGGAAAAGTAGCAATAAACATCGGCAACTTTGGCCCGTCCCGTACATTAAGAGATGTGCGAATTTCACCTATGTTTGACCCTGACGGGATTTGAAGCTAAGTCTGGGGTTAAAATAGGCGTTATTTTCGTCATCAACACCCTCAAAAACATCAGAAACAATGCAAATACTCGAATAAAAAGAATATTCAAAAAATACCCCACTGGGATTTGAACTCGGGTCCAAACTTCTCCGATTCGCTTAAAACTGGCACCGTTAGTTTTGTCTTGTCGCCCTGATTCAATAATTACCCCTACATGCCCTGCTAGCTGTATCCGTTGCCGGAATCCTCCTATCGCGAAGCCTGTTACGACAAACCACGGTCTGGCGTTCACCCACCTTGTTACTCATCAGTGGATAGATTTTCCTGAAGGAAAGTTTTATAGTTTTATAATCACACTTGAAATATATGTGTACAAATCCCAGACTCAGAATTTAACAAATCGAAGAGCGTACATTGTATGCTCTAACTGGAGCATGCCTGCAAGCACGTTCTAGCTACCGCATGCCTGCCAAGCATGCACTTATTAGTGCATACATACCATGTACGTACACGCTTCCTGATGCAGGCAACTCCCTATCCCTTCTGCACTACACGGTAAAAACGGAACCGGGTTTTCCCTGGAAGCCTATGGAAGAAAAATAGGCGGTTTCCAGGGAGTTCCTGGGAAAACCAGGTTTCGTTTTTACGGTGTAGATGCATGCTTCAGTTAGCGTGGACATGGCGGCATGTATGCACTAAATAAGTGCTTCCTTGGCAGGCATGCGCTAGCTAGAGCGTGCTTGCAGGCATGCTCCAGTTAGAGCGTACAATGTACGCTCTTCGATTTGTAGAGGTCTCGCAACTTCAGAACGAGGCCTCTAGTCTCACCTCAGGAGGTGAGGTCTGACATTTAGTTTTGTAGGGAAGTGTATGTTCAAAACGAAAGTTATCATCTGTACAAAGAAGTCCTATCGTCTGCTAGAACGTCTTATCTGTTCACACCCGCCTGACAGGGATCATGATGGGCAAAAACACAGCTATAAGTCCTGGTAAGGCCCGGGGTTATTCTTGTCATGGCAGGGACACTTGCGTTGGCTTAGAAACCACAATCTCTCACTTATCAGCAAATTTCTGTTGGAGTGGGTTTGCAGTGGGAGGACTGCTCGAAGGCCCTCTTCTTAGAGAACCTTGCTTAGTACTGGTGATTCGGCTCTGGGCTGAAGAAGTTTGGTCACGGTATTTATGTCTTGAGAAATTCTCTCCTGCTTCTTAGGACCTCTACCTATGAACGCACGTAAAAATAGACCTTGTTGAGGTGATCAGTAGGGTGGATCTTATTTTCTGACCCCCCCTTTTTATTGGCAAAATTGAATGTTGAGGATACTAGAAGATCATACCTGAGTCGCATTTGATCGGGGATGGACCGGAAGAGTCACGGTAGAGGGCCTAAACTTGGGTCTACAGCCTAAAAATGGTAGTTTTTTAGTGATTGCGGACGAACTAGATTAGGTATCGAAACGGGCGGGGTCTCAAAAGATGCGGAATTTCATTACCTTTCCAACGAGCTATGTAGTATCAAAATCGGACAACTTTTGACGAGAGGACAGCTGTGTTTTATGTTTAAAACGGGCATAAAAAGTTTATCAAAATTGACAAAAATGTCGTTATTGAGGTGTTATAGGCTTCAGATCGCAAAAAAATTATTTGGGTATTCACTTGGCCTGACACAGCACTCAAGGACCACCACAAAACAGTTTGCTTGCACTGCACGGATAATGTTTTTTTGGAATTTTTCATTGAGAAAACTCATTAGTTATTAAACGAATTCTTTTACAAAAACTTATCTTTGCCCAGGGGCATTGATCTTCAATGCGAGTGTTTGCGGAAAACAATTTTCTCATCCCCCGTGGACCGGAAAAGAGTTTCCAGAGACCACTTAAATACGAACTAGGTGCCCCCGGGCAAAAGATAATTTTTTTTCAAACAATTGATTCAATAATTATTGAGTTTTGGCCTGTACCAAATGACAACTTGTGAAGCGGGGGATGAGATCTTTTGCCCGGGGGCACCTAGTTCGTATTTAAGTGGTCTCTGGAAACTCTTTTCCGGTCCACGGGGGATGAGAAAATTGTTTTCCGCAAACACTCGCATTGAAGATCAATGCCCCTGGGCAAAGATAAGTTTTTGTAAAAGAATTCGTTTAATAACTAATGAGTTTTCTCAATGAAAAATTCCAAAAAACATTATCCGTGCAGTGCAAGCAAACTGTTTTGTGGTGGTCCTTGAGTGCTGTGTCAGGCCAAGTGAATACCGAAATAATTTTTTTGCGATCTGAAGCCTATAACACCTCAATAACGACATTTTTGTCAATTTTGATAAACTTTTTATGCCCGTTTTAAACATAAAACACAGCTGTCCTCTCGTCAAAAGTTGTCCGATTTTGATGATACATAGCTCGTTGGAAAGGTAATGAAATTCCGCATCTTTTGAGACCCCGCCTGTTTCGATACCTAATCTAGTTCGTCCGCAATCACTAAAAAACTACCATTTTTAGGCTGTAGACCCAAGTTTAGGCCCTCTACCGTGACTCTTCCGGTCCATCCCCGATCAAATGCGACTCAGGTATGATCTTCTAGTATCCTCAACATTCAATTTTGCCAATAAAAAGGGGGGGTCAGAAAATAAGATCCACCCTAGTGATCAGCTCTGTTTGAAAGGCTGAATTCGAGAGTAGCATTCGCAAATTTCCTATTCTACAGATAGTTGCTTTAGTGCGACCGAACATTTGAATCGCGACAGCAAATCCCAACTATGTTGTGCTCTTCCATATGCTCAGTCGTCACTGCCAGTCTTTGGTTGTGGGTTCCGGATTTCATTTCCGATTGCAGCTATTCAATTGAGCCTATCAAACTGATTTGACTACCACGACAAAGACTATTTCTCGGTCTGCGGACGATAGACTGTACTTAGAGTCATTCAACGAATGGGACGGCAGATCACTGAAAATTGAATGGTCAAGTAAAGGCATGGCTAAAAGTCGCGACAAATATGAGCGTGGCAGGATAGACTTGACACGTCGAAGAACGGCATGACAGGGACATGTGGGGCACGCCGATGGCGTCAATATACCAGCCAAAATTCCTGCCGACTTAAACACGATTTCTTAATAGAAGGGATTTCTGAAGCAAGATTTCCGTCCAAGACGACTAATTTTACTCCCAAAATCTGCTTGCTTTTAGTTTTCATATTTTCCCTTTTGGGGCAAGATTTCGGATTTCTACAGATTTTGAGCGCTCCAAGGGACACAGTATTTTTCGAGTGGTTGCCTCCCATCGGGGACTGCCGTAAACGCTAAGCCAGTTAGGTCAAAACGCGTTCTGGCGTACTCCTACCTCGTTCTAAGCTTTGTGTTCGTACTACGTAGAGAAAGCTCAGCTGGTCTACGTTGAAACGAATATTGCCGTCCACACTTAATTCTAGTGGACTTTTTGAATGCACAATTATGAATTTTTTAAACAGTCTAGGGAAAGTTGTGCGCCAATGACCGGCCGGGGCTCCCAGTTCCGCGCTATCGAGCAAGCGAGCCTCCTTGTCTACACACTTCCGCGCTAGTCCCGACTGGTGTTGCCGTGTTCCCAGTCGCCTCACTCCGACTCCGCCATGGAGGCCGTCACCAGCTCGACGCCGGGTGCCCTGGACTGCTCCGCGGGCAGCCCACTGCTGCTGTTCGTCGCCGGACTGGTGGCCAACATCACGACCAAGAAGGAGGCGGAGCGGACGCGAAGGCAGCAGGAGGGTGAGGCCCCAACAGACCACTCCAGTCGTGGCCGAGTGAAGAACAAGAAGAATCACAAAAGACTCATGTAGGCCATTCAGAGTGCATATGATCACTGAAATTATGTCGCATTTACTGTAAAATATTCTTACTAACTTCTACCAAGCAAAGTCTTAAACAGTTAAAGTAAAAGTGCTAAAAAGAAGTCTTTTGTGATTCTTCTTGTTCTCCACTCAGCCATGACTAGAATGGTCTATTTAAATTCTGGCCCCACATTGTCTTCCGAAGAAATTTCCAATTGTGCGATGGCAATGGCTCGACCCCGGTCTTTCCTTGTTTTCAACGTGTTTTCGATCGACTGGGCGCGTGGTCGGACCTTCTTTCATGCAATTTCTCATATAAAATATAAGACTAAACATTAGAGGTTTGAGCAGAAACCGTAAATGAAATTACAAGGACAGTGAAATTAGAAAGATAACGAGGAAACACGGGTAGAACACTAAGAGCCGTATCCTTTTTACGGCCATGATGGCCCTACTGCCCCCGCCACTCCTTTCTTTTCCTGTTTTTCACTTTCACTAAATATGTGTGCACTAAATATCTCACTGCGTGAACAAAGATGAAAAACTCCGTGTCGGGCGGTCGGGAGTCCATTGCTCAGAGTTTATAAAGCATTTTATTAATGCAGATAGTTGTTACAACAAAGAGAGAATTTTAAACTTGAATAGATTAATGCACTTGCAGCATGTAAAACACCTAAAACTAGCACTTGTTGGTTGATAAGTTACTAGCTGGTGGAGGGTTTTCCAACGAATTTCTTGACCCTCCACCAAGCTTTACATTAATACTAAGAAAATGATAATCGTTGCTGTCCCAGATTCCAGACCTCTGCCCGAGTACGACTATGTTGTGGTGGGAGGGGGCTCGTCCGGCTGCGTGCTGGCGTCGCGCCTGTCCGAGGACAAGTCCGTCTCGGTGCTGCTGTTGGAGCGAGGCGGCCACGAGCCGGAGGAAGCCAGAGTCCCGGGCTACACCGTATTCAACATTAACAGCGCACTGTCCGAACCGATAGTTGTAAGTTAAAACAAGAGTACGGTAGTGGTGCGTCTAGACGCATTTTGATCTCCGGAGTCGCAGAACAAGACTCGAACCGACCCCACCAATGGATTCGTTCGGAGAGCAATCCATTGCACTGTTCGGGATTGTTTTGGTGCATTTCATGAAATTACGATTTATTTCGTGTTGAATCTGTACCACGAAGTGATTGTAACGATTAATGTTCGTCGAAAGATTGGCGTTAATTTCATGAATCCTGTCGTTACGTTATGAATTATTATTTCTAAAATTTCGATACTATTTGTTAGGATTTCTGTTGTAACGTAACGGCTTAAGTAGAATTCTTTCAACCGTGTGATGGGATCACACGTTCGGTTCTTCAACTCAGGAGCTCAAAAGGCGTTCGGGAGTTTGACCGCCTCCACCGGTCTTCTGGATCGCTGTACAGTGCTTATAAAATTTCTAAGAAATGTTTTCTAAAGCACTCCCAATTTCCTACTGAGAAATGCCGTGCAGTCATAATACTAAGCTAATTCTCAGTGCTTTACGACACAAATCTGTCAAAATACAGAGAAATTTGTTCGTAATATGAAGAAATTGGTCTTAAGTTACTGAGAACTCTTCACCACACTGCCAATCCAAGTGTGAGACAGTCTCACACTGGTAGGTGTGGGACATTTTGTCTCACGTTTACAAGTGTCAGCCACGTTTGTCTCACGCTTGCAAGTGTGAGGCACAGGATGTCCCACACTTGCTGCCTTGCCTATGCTCGCTCTGTGGTTCAATGCCACGGGTCCCACGTCTGCAAGTGTAGGACCAACCGTGTCTCACACACTAAATGTTTGTGTACTTTTATTGTCCATAGCTACGGCCGTTTTTGTGCACACAGAACTCATGTACAAATTTGTACATAAATTGGGAACAATATTTCCATATTGTGATAAAGTATGTAAAACATTGTACCTAATTTAAGTACAAATTTGTACATAACTTCAGTTTGCACAAATACGGGACATAAAGTCCATAAGCATTTAGTGAGCACACTTGCAAGTTTGAGGCGAGACAAACGTGGCTCACACATGTAAGCGTGAGACAAATCATCCCAGACCTAAAAGTGTGAGACTGTCTCCCACTTGGATTGGCAGTGCAGAGGTTGCTACCTTTGCTGCGCAGTCACTGAGCTTTTTATTCGTATTGCGAAGAAAAAGCTCAGTAGGATATTGGGAGCGAAGTTTAATTGCTTGCCCCACTCCGGCTGCGAATCTTAGGCCCAGCCGGAGCCGCAGAATTGCAACAACACAGGCTGCACGCTCAACGTACCGAACGTGCTGGGAGGCGGCAGCACCATCAACGGCATGCTGTACGTGCGGGGCAGCAGCGAGGACTACAACGAGTGGGCGAGGATCACCGGGGACGCGGGCTGGGCGTACCGAAACGTGCTGCGCTACTTCAAGAAGTCCGAGCAAAACCTAAACGCCCCGATAAATGAAAACTCGAGTAAGATTTGTAGTCCATGTTCATTCACGTTACGAATTGTCATCAATGAGAATTCAACTGAGATTTGTGTTAACTGTTCGACAGTAGGTAATTTCGGTTGACGTTTTTTTGCGTTGTTAAGGGGGGACCCTGGTGAAAAAATCGCCAAAATTCCAAAAACTAATATTTTCAAAGTTCATAGATAAAAATGTGCATAGAAGGTTTCAGATTCAACAGGTTGAACACCTTTAAGCTAAGTGGGTAGTTTCTTTATCATTTGGAAGGAAATAACATTGAGATCAGTTGTCGTTGGCTTCTACGCTCAGCTTCACAGCTTCGCTCAGTCAACAAAAAAATTTGTCGCAGAAAGACTTTTCCTGCGTTCCTGGTTGACACCTACATGAGTCGTCTTGCATGGACTCTATTCATTGATGACTTGTCGACAAATTATAGTGACGGAATCTTGATATCAGCCCTACTTTTTTTTTAAACACACCTAAAAGTTTGAAAAAAGGGAAAAAAATCTTCTTTTTTTTTTAATGTTAAAATTTGAAAACTCATATCTTAGAACAGAAGTTGAATTTGAAAATTCCGTCATTAAAATCTCTTTAATACATCTTTAGGATAACCCAAAAAAATTTTCAAGACTTTCCGTCCCAATGAAAGACAGGAAGATTTTTCCCCAACGCTCCAAAAAACATTAAAAAGCCACTTTTCTCAGAGACCGTTCAACATTTTGGATTGACTTTGGTTTTGGGAACTCACCATAATGAACCTCATAATTAAGCAAAGTTTCAACTTCCTGGGATTATTTTGAAGCCTACTTGAAAGTTTCACCAGGGTCCCCAGGTTTTTCGGATGTTAAGTTCATTACTATCATGGAAACTGAAATTGCATCAAATGAAGGCATTAATTTTTTTCAATTTTAAAATTGTTAACGTTTAAATGGGCTTTTTAACTTTTGCGCTCATATTGCGCTATAAAATTGAAGTCCCGAAAGTGACACAAGCATATTGGGTGGGAGTAATACACCTTTAAAGTCGTTCGAAGAAAACGACACCATTGCTGTATAGTACGAAACGTTTTGTGCCAACATATTGTTGAGCCACTTACCCTTCGCTTCTCCCTTGTAAGTCCGCATATAATATTCACGGTAAGAACAGTTCAGGAACTTCCTGGAAATCGTCTATATCTTTGGCCCGTTTCAAAGTTGGTTGAGTGTTTTGGGCAGTGTGTTCCGTGTTGTCGTAGGGTACCACGGCCGCAACGGACCGCAGAAGGTGTCCTGGCAGCCGTACCGCCACCCCGTGCTGCCGGTCCTGGCGCAGGCCTTCGAGGCCACGGGCGTGCCGGCCCGCCTGGACATCAACGCCGAGAGCCAGCTGGGCCACTCCGTGGTGCAGACCACGTCGGCCGGCGGCGAGCGCTGGTCGGCGTACCGCAGCTACCTGGAGCCCGTGCTGCACCGGGGCAACCTGCGCGTCGAGACCTTCGCCACCGCCAGCAGGGTGGTGCTGGACGACAAGGCCTGGGGCGGGCTGAGGGCGGTCGGGGTCGAGTACGAGGACCCGCAGGGAAAGGTGCGATTCGATCGTCAATCGCTGTTTTCTTGAAGAAGGCTGTCAAAAAAATAAGATTAAGGGGGGACCCTGGTGAAAAAATCGCCAAAATTCCAATAAATTGTGTTTTTAAAGTTCATAGATAAAAATGTGCATAGAAGGTTTCAGATTCAACAGGTTGAACACCTTTAAGCTAAGTGAGTAGTTTCTTTATCATTTGGAAGGAAATAACATTGAGATCAGTTGTCGTTGGCTTCTACGCTCAACTTCACAGCTTTGCTCAGTCGACAAAAAATTTTGTCGTAGAAAGACTTCCTGCGTTCCTGGTTGACACCTACATGAGTCGTCTTGCATGGACTCTATTCATTGATGACTTGTCGACAAATTTTAGTGACGGAATCTTGATATCAGCCCTACTTTTTTTAAAACACACCCAAAAGTTTGAAAAAAGGGGAAAAAATCACTTTTTTTTAAATGTTAAAATTTGAAAACTCATATCTCAGGACAGAAGTTGAATTTGAAAATTCCGTCTCTAAAATCTCTTCTTTACATCTTTAGGATAACCCAAAAAAATTTTCAAGACTTTCCGTCCCAATGAAAGACGCAGGAAGATTTTTCCCCAACGCTCCAAAAAACACTAAAAAGCCACTTTTCTCAGAGACCGTTCAATATTTTGGATTGAATTTTGTTTTGGGAACTCACCATAATGAACCTGATAATTAAGCAAAGTTTCAACTTCCTGGGATTATTTTGAAGCCTACTTGAAAGTTCCACCAGGGTCCCCCCTTAAGGGGGAAAGAAAACTTTTTTTTTCAACTAATGGCGCCACTGCCCCCTTTAACCTGAAATCTAAGCAACTGTAAACTCAAATAACTTTGTCGGCACCGTGTGAAGAACAAAAGTATAAACAGGAACCAGTTTCACGCCACCTAGCGCTCACTGTTGGGAACTTCGACCAGACCTGCGCTTGTAACCAATCAGGGTTCAGCTTTTGACTGTTTACAGTAACCACCGCTAGATGCGGCGCGCTGGTGGTTCCAGAATTTTTGATTACTTTTGTTCTTCACCCAGCGATGACTGAAAGGGTCTATTCCATTCCGGCTGGAATCGTATCATGGTCGTACCGTATCCCGGTCGTAACCGCAACTATGATTTCCGGCCTGCACGGTAAAAACGGCACCTGGTTTTCCCAGGAGCCCTATGGCGAAGACATAGGCGATTTCCAGGGGGTTCCTGGGAAAACCAGGAACCGTTTTTGCCGTGTGGGCACAATTTTTGTGCACATGAACTTTTCGTACAATTTTTGTACAAAACATTGCACATAATTTCCCCATTTTTGTACAAAAACATTTAGTGCGAGTGAAGCATGAAGCGTATTGGCGTGGGAAGCGCAGCTCCCGACTCCTATGATTTGGTTGTGTGTGGTGTGCAGGTCCACGTGGTGCGAGCGAGGAAGGAGGTTGTCCTCACTGCTGGGGCACTGCACACTCCGCAACTTCTCATGCTGTCCGGTATCGGTCCATCGAGCCAACTGAAGGTAAGTCGGACCACAATCCAAAGCAAGCATTCTATGATAAATATTCTCTTGCTAACTCTGCCTTGCCGGGGAACCGCCTGTAGAAGCAGTGCATCGGCAGTGTACTGTGAATAAATGAATATTATGATTTCTAAACCAGAGCCCACACGCCTCAATAGAGTAAAACTATTCTTCGTCTACGTTTATCAGCAAAGGGGCCTCGCCACCAAATCTTGACAGTGGAACCCGGTGGAACCCATTTTCTCGTGCTTGAGGGCGCGTTCTGGTTCCTCCTTGAGAAAGTGGCATGTGATGGAATCCATCACGTGCCACTTTCTCAAGGAGGAACCAGAAAAAAATAATTGTACTTCTAAATCCCAGACAATCCCAGTTTCTTCAAAATTCATCTAGATGACGCAATTTAAAGATATTCTTTTTTTAAAAAACGTGAACACGGCTGCAATTCGTTGAAATTCTTCCAAACCTCATGTCGTATTAAAAATGCGCACACTGAAATTCAAACTTATTTCTGCTTGCACAGGCTGCAGGTATCCCCGTCGTCAAAGAACTTCCCGTGGGCGAGAAGCTGCTGGACCATCCGGTCGTGTCGAGTGTACCGTACAAGTGCGGACCGCCTCTCTGCAGCGTGGACTGGGAGAGTCGCCTCGACGACCTTCGTCAGTACAACGACAATCGCACCGGGCCGCTCTCCGCCTTCAACAACCTGCACCAGAACGTGTTCGCCAGGAGCTCGCTGGCCAAACCCGGCACGGGGCAGCAGCCGGACTTCCAGATCATGTTCCAGGGCAGAACTGTCACCGAAGCTGGCGTGTAAGTGCGGTCGTCTCGTACAAAATTTGTACAAAAACACTTAGTAAGTATAAGTTATTCGGAAAGGTAGGAATTAATAACGCATTTCTGTATGCCTTATCCAAAGCCAATTCATGAAGTGTTCTTTTTCTTGGTGCACACTACGTTTCTTTGTTGCACGCGTTGGTACGTAGTATGACACAATTTTGAACATGCGCACAAATTCACTCCAAATCGAAAGGCGGTAATATTTCCACCCTTTACTGGCGGTAATTGGCTATTGGCAGGCTCCAGGTTTTACCGCCAATACGAAGGCGGTACAGAATTACCCCCCTTAAAAGAACCCGTTTGTACCGCCTTTGGGAAAACTTTAACCCCCGTTTTTGGCCCAATAGGAACAAAAAGGGAATATTTTATCCTTTTTGGGCAATCAAAGGATGCAATGGGGGAATACTTTGTACCGTTTTTGCAATTTGTAGGCTTTAATTGGGGGGCCCCAATTTTACCGCCAAAAAAGGCAAAAGGGTTTTACCGCCTTTCACATGTGTACCGCCAATAGATTTGTAGTGTTTGTATGAAATTTCGCTCGAATTTGTAGATGACTCTGCGTGCAATCTAGCAAGAGGAATTTCGCATGCGCAACATTTGAGGGCTCAAATACTTTTTGTATGCAGGACTCCCTGTAGTTCCAGGCAAAGGGCAAACAACATTTTTGTGCACCAATATTTTAAATACTCTCAGCCACTGACACTATTGGGTCAAATTTAGTAAAAGCATCGCACTTTTTTTTCATGATTTCCGATTTTCACCAAATTTGGTGAATTTGCTAACATTAGGGTACAGATGATGCAAACAAACTTTGGTTGAGTTATCTTAACGCGTTCGCGTTTGGTAGAAGGGTCCATTTTCACACTTTTTCACCAAAGTTGTGTAATGGTCAAACACTAAGCTAATACCTTTTGAACGGTTTGAGCTACACTCTCATTCCAGGAACGTGACATCACGTTGAAACGAACGTGACAAAATGTCACGTTCGTTTGAGCATTGTGTCACGTTCGTTTGAGTGTGAACAAGCTGATTTTTGGCCAATTCACACCCAAACGAATGTGACACAATGCTCAAACGAACGTGACACTTTGTCACGTTTGTTTCAACGTGACGTCACGTTCCTGGAATGAGAGTGTACAGTGCCCCCTACCAACCGCGAACGGGTTGAGATAACTCAACCAAAATTTATTTGCATCATCTGTACCCCAATGTGAGCAAATTCACCAAATTTAGTAAAAATCGGAGCTCATGAAAAAAAAAAGTGGGACGCTTTTACTAAATTTGACCCCATTACTCGTTGGTAGATGCATTTCTGAACGCAACTATAATATTTAGTGTTTTCTCTAAGTATTGATAAATTTCTTGGCAATTACTGATTACTGTACTGACATTTTTCAATATATGAGAAGGAAATATTGAGTATCACGGTCGCTTACAGAAATGCGTCTGCTAATAAGGAAAAGTCAGTAGAAGGCTGAGAGTTTATTTAAGTTTCTCACTGATAGAAAAAAGGACAGAAAATCCGCGCACGGAATATGCCTGGTCAATGTTTTACCTAGACCCGGGACCGTCTGTACCTTGCAACCACGGAGGTGCCGTACATGTTTGCATACCAGTTTACATAGGATCCTTATCGAGGGGTCCTATTCCGAAGTTCTTATCTGGGCGTTCCCCCCAAGAGAATCTTATCTTAAATGCAGGCGACTTTTACTCAGTCATGGGGACCACAGAAAACCTGTACGGAAGGTCCGTATTTTTACGTACCCCATTTTCTGTACATTTTCCGTACCAAACCACGGATTTTTTTTTGCGGTGCTTCACACTTCGACGTTACATTTCACGTTATTTCAAGGGGAACGTACACCAGAATTCAAGTTGTTCCCCCGTCCGGTTCCAGGTGCCTGGCGCGTGACTCTTGGCGCTCCAACAGGCTGGTGCCCATAGTGTCCCTGATACGGCCGCTCAGCGAGGGCTGGCTCCGCCTCAACGCGTCCAACCCGCGCGGCCAGCCTCTGGTCAAGCTCAGCTACTTCAGCGACGCCGCGGGGCACGACCTGGCCGTGACGGTGCAGGGGCTGCGGATGGCGGTGCGGCTCCGGCACGCCCTCGCGCCGCTCGGCCTCACCCTGGACACCGAGGGACTCGACGCGTGCTTGTGAGTCGACGGACAGGGAACAGTGTGAATAGTACAGCAAAACGGTACGATAAAGTACAACGGGAGTACAACGAGAATTGTGCAAACCACAGCGTGGCCTGGACTGCACAGCACTCGTCATGCTGTTTCCATTTTACTTTGAAAGTACAATAAATTCCTGGAAAAAAAAATTCGTGTGCACAAAAAACTGTGATGTCTCGTACAAAAGTGAGCATAACATTAAGTGTGAGCGCGTCGGTATTTGTAAGCATGTAGTTGCCACGCATTTGTAGGTGTCAAGTGTATACTTAGTAAAACGGTTTGCAGTGTGAACCGTGCAACAGTGAATCTCCCTCGGGAGCTCGCAGCTCGACTTGAAAGCAGTGTATCTTTATTGGCCGTTTCCGAGACGACTTGATTGTTCTGCGCAGGGCGCTGGGAGACGTGGAGTCGGACGCGTTCCTGCGCTGCGTGGCGCGCGTCAACACGTCGACGTTGTGGCACTGGAGCGGCACCTGCCCGATGGGCCGCGCACGCGATGCCACTGCCGTGCTGGACTCGCGGCTGCGCGTGCGAGGCGTGAGAAGGCTGCGCGTCGCCGACGCGTCCGCCATGCCGTTCATCCCCAGCGGCAACACCAACAACCCTACCATCATGCTGGCCGAGCGGGCCGCCGACCTCATCAAGCGGGACGCTGCCATCTGCCGGGGGATTCCGTGCAGAGGGGGTCATTTCAGGTCCTTGGGGCCTTGCGCCTGAACTGAGGTTGATTTGGTAGCTTGGGCCATTCAAATGTGTTTTATTAAACGAGGACCATGTCCTCATGTGGATAAGTCGATCTAACTTTAGGGATGATTGTAAACACCATCTTTTTATCTTCAAAATGCCGCAAACCAATTGCAAAAAAGGTAAGAACTTCCGGAGAAAAATGTCGCGCAGTGAAATTTTGTTTGGCTGAGCGATAGCGAAGCCTGTTACTCCAGTGGGTTTGAAAAATTTTTCCTGTCTGTCTGTCTGTCTGTCTGTCCGTGTGTGTGTGTGCGTGTCTGTGTGTCCGCACTACTCCTCCTGAACGGCTCGGCCGATCTCGGTGAGATTTTGCACACTTTTTGGGCATGTCCTTGGCTCGGCACACGCGAAATCTCACCATCCTAACTCAACTGGTTTAGTTTTTATAGCCGAAAAACACTTTAAAAAAGGCGAAAAATCGAGTTTTCTGTAGGCAGATCGCTTCTGTCGTGATAAAAGGGGGGTCTGGGGGGCAGAGCCCCCCAGCCTGGACAAGGGGAAAAGTTACAAGGGTCAAGATCGAGTTATCTGGAGATGAAGCAACTCTTTCTAGAATAAGCAACAAGTTAGGAAAATCGACGATGGAGATGGAGAAGCCATTGCCTGCCGAAGGCAGGCTAGCGCCGCAGGCCAAGGTAGGTACGCCAGGCGCGGATTGGAGAAACAGGCAGCGAGACATCGCGAAGCCTGTTACGACAAGACGCGGTCTGGCGTAAACCTACCTTGTATGTTTTGCCGGCTTTTGTTGCATTACCTATAATTCCCTTACAACTAAAGACAAAACAAAATATTTTTTTTGAAAATGTTGTAAAAATTCCATTCTTTTATTTGGTTTTTACCGTTTGTCTCTAAAAGGTATATTTAAAAAATCATCGCCTCGTCCCTGTACCCTTTTCTAGGGTTTTTTTTTCCTCTCCTTTGATGGCCATCCTGGTAAATTGATTTATCCATGAAACCTGTAAACCGATTAATCGATACTAAATCGATGTGTCGAAAGAATCTAAACGATAACAAGGTAGGTTTACGCCAGACCGCGTCTTGTCGTAACAGGCTTCGCGATGTCTCGCTGCCTGTTTCTCCAATCCGCGACTGGCGTACCTACCTTGGCCTGCGGCGCTAGCCTGCCTTCGGCAGCCAATGGCTTCTCCATCGTCGATTTTCCTAACTTGTTGCGTACTGGGGGGCTCAGACCCCCCTTCATTCTAGATAGAGTTGCTTCATCTGCGGATAACTCGATCTTGACCCTTGTAACTTTTTCACTTGTCCAGGCTGGGGGCTAGCCCCCCAGACCCCCCCTTTCTTTAAGACAGAAGCGATCTGCCTACAGAAAACTCGATTTTTCGCCGTTTTTAAGTGTTTTTCGGCCTTAAAAACCGAACCAGTTGAGCTAGGATGGTGAAATTTCGCGTGTGCCGAGCCAAGGACATACCCAAAAAGTGTGCCAAATCTCACCGAGATCGGCCGAGCCGTACAGGAGGAGTAGTGCGGACACACACACACACACACACACACACACACACACGGACAGACAGACAGGAAAAAAATTTCAGCCCCATTGGAGTAACAGGCTTCGCTATCGCTCAGCCAAAAATCTGTAATCGTTGAAGAGAACTATTCAACGGTTAATCGATTTTAACTTGTAATTGATTAGTCAACGAAAAAAAAAGAAAAAAAATTAACGATAAATCGATGAAAATACGAAATTTACTTTTGAATGCAAATGTGCAGTCGAGAAAAAAATCTATCCCTGGTAATTGGTATCGACCAATCGACTCAAGAAATAAGGACTCCTCCAAAAATGTTAAAATTTGATTCCCCTGGCCCTTTGCAACGTCTGTCGTCGAGACGCGCTTAGTGGCGGTGAAG